CATTAATATTTATTTGGTATTCTTAGTGTTTGAAAATCAGCCTTGCATGGAGATTTAATTTACCGCGGCACAAAAGAGCTTCAAATGGCCTGTGCCTGCAGAATCTGGTCCAGCACCTGGGGTTGCCATAGCGATGATGGGATATTGGCATCTCTGTCAAAAGAGGGACCTTTAGCGGGAGGTAGACAGTTTAATGAGCTGACCTCTCTCGCGTCTCGGGGTTCGAACTGGGCGTTTGGGATGCCGCGCAGTCCAGGGTTACCCTCTACAGAGGGGTTAATGGACCTTTGTATTCATTGAGCCAGTGTGGCAGCTTATTAATCGGGGGAAGAATACTTTATTGTGCTCTTTTGTGTTGAAAATGAGTTGAATGCCTTACACTTTCAGCTTTTGTGGGTTTTATTAGCTTTTATATGGCTTATTAATTTTTTTTTAATAAAATATGAATATAGTTTCGTGTTCCAGATGAACATGCCATTAATTTTGAATAGCAGGTTAATTACTTCTTACGCATTTATAAATCACTCTTTCGAAATGAGCGCCGCCTTTTCCGGTGCGTAAAACACAAGTGTAAAGGACTGTAATGAGGTGGAAAGTGCAATTACGCACTGTGGGTAGGTTAGGCGTGTAACTGGCGTAGGCTTCTGGAATGTTCCAGGGACTGGTTGGGAAGTGCTGGGAAAGAAAGGCCCCCCGGCTCCCCCACAGCAAACGCTCTTCCTGAAGCTTGCAGGCGTGCCAGAGTGAGTGAGCTGGCCTCTGTGTTCAGTCAGTGATTAATCATTAAGAATTTATGTGTCCTGGAAATTTCTGATCTTTAGTCAAAAGATCCCAAGAGGACGAGTGAAGAATTTTTTAAAAATCCACCATAAAGGACATCGCGATAGTCCACATTAGCTCCATCACCGTATGCAGTGACTGTCGGGCCCTGTGTTTGCGTAGTTGTGCAAGAAGGAATTATTGGAAAAATAGACAGCTGATGGACAAATTTGGCAAGTGAGCATGATGGATGCAAACTGATTGAAGTGACTTTTTAATTCAGGTCGGTTCATTCCTTTCAGACACATTCCCTAATGTTGCTCGTGATGATGTAGGATCAGAAGTCAAATGACATAATCAGTGTTTCTAGAGCTTCAGCTGATTGATGAAGAGCTACCTAAACAAACCAGTTAGAAGACTGAACCTTGTCTTAACCACCCAGTGTTTAACACCTGCAGTACAAGGCTGGTCACCTGTGGCAGGTTCTCCTTAGGTTCTCGGTTGTTGTCCTGGTTCCTGTTCCTGATCCTCGATAGTCGTGATGCCTTCTGTCTCGCTCCGTCCCACACTTGCCGTTTCCGTTGCGTGGCTTTTCCGTAACGCGGTGTAACATTTAATTTGAAAATGCATTTTTGACCCATAACCGGGCCAAAGCAGAGTACAGGAGTCACCGGTGAATATCCTGTGGCAGCAATTAAAACTCAGCTTGCATCATATCACCAAACTGTTAGCCGCAGAAAGCATGCCCCCCCCCACCCACACTGGGACGCAGGCTGTTAGCAGGCCTGTCAGTTAGGCCTGGAGCTGCTGTTTTGTTCCACTGCTAGAACGCTGGAGGTCTGCTACATACTGTCAGGCTGGGCTTTACTTCATTCTGAGGTTTCCGCATGTACTGCAAGCCGCAAGCTTATGTTTTCGTTCATTCCGTTTGTTTTCCCAACGAGCGCGTCGTTTCTGACGTTCCGCATCGGCCCCCGCCGCCAGCCGTCCGCCTCGCCGCATCAAATCCCGCTCCGCCGGAGGCTCCGCTTCTCGGACTCCTCCGGGCCTGTCTCCCGCCTCGCTCCTGTCTGCCGGCATTCCCGTCGATGGCGTTCCCGTCTCGCATCGTGCATGGATATATGGCATCCCGCTTGTCAGGAGTCGCTCCTTAGGCGTTTTGTCTATAAAAACAAAAAAAAATAACTGGAAGGTGTGGGAAGAGGGTCTGGTTCTGCTTGGCCCTGCTTTGTTCTGGAGGTGGACTCCTAGAGAACGGTGTGCCCCGCCCACTTCAGTGTTCTGCGTTTGGATTGGTCCCAGCAGTCAGCTGTAAATGTGCTGAAGACACTGCACACCCACGCTGAGCGACTGCGCTATTGCCACCTCTGGAGCGCAGCACCTGCGGCTTTCTGCGGAGGAACCCGCCATGACAGGGAAAAGTCATTAATACTGAAAATATAATTCTGTCATAGCAGTACTGTCAGAAGTAACGCTGTTTTATTTTAGTTTCTGGAAGAAAAAAAAAACTCTTGTTTTTCGAGGGGGATAAAGTGAAGCAATACTCACTTGTAGCATGCCAGGAAATGTTGTGTTGCTCTGGTAATAATTACAGCTGAACTGGAGCAGTACAGCAACAGAATGGCAAAATTCCTGCAGTCTGTGGAAAACGGTCATTACAGGGAACTGAACCGAAACCTTAATGGAAAATATGTTTGATTGTTACTTGTTTTGCTTGCTTGTTTTAGGGTTTTTTTTCCCCCATGTCATTCAGCGATTGCCTGCATTACGCTTAAATGCAGGCCTGCGTTTTTATGCCCAGAACGCTTAGCTGACTAATGGTCGTGCTGACATCAGCTCTGAGAGCAGTATAACAGAAACAGGCCTTGCGAATAGGAAGAGGGAGATGCTATAAATATATGTAAGCATGAGTAGTGTGTGTGTATTTATCTGAAATGAGTCCGGCTGCTGTCATATTATGAAAGGACGTCAGGTGACCGCGATGATCTGTGATAACTCGGCTCACCTGCTCTCGTGCCTTGTGCAGATGCACGCCTCTGTTTGTTTTTATCTACTCTCCCCCATCTCCTGGAGAGCGACGTCCTAACACTGGTCCTGAGATTAGCAGCAGCCCAGAAATAGCTTCTTTGTTGATCCACATGACTTTCGCATGGTGTCGATTTCCCTCTCTATTTGGTTAGTTACCCCTTAAAAAAAATAAAATAAAATGAAGATCCCCACCCTGCGGTCCTGTCGCACGGTTCCGCTCGCCAGCCTGAAGATGTTCTCAAAGCGTATTTATGTAGTAGCCTGGGGGGGACGTAGACACATTGGAGCAGCCAGAAGCCAGTTTACAGAAAACAGAGCCGCGACTTGTTCTGTTTCCCGTGATTCATATTTCATTAACATACGTATCTGTACCACATATATGTTTATTCCAAGCTCGCTGCATTAATATGGATGGACACAGTGTAACAATATCCCTTTCATTAATCTTGTAAGCTATTATCCTCCTGGAGGTCTTGCAGTCCCAGGATGCACTGGGAACAAGCAAGGGAACCCCAAGGATGGGAGGAATATGCTTATTTAAGCTGCTCTTCAATGGCAGATATGCTGCCTGTGTACATTTTATACTGGATAGTTGTATAAAACGCTTAATCCTTAATCTCTTCAGCAAACGAGCAATTATAAACGCAGATCTAAATGTCAAGAACATGAAGTAGATCCAAGACTGACATGCGCAGCATTAGCTGGTTGCTAAAACTCTTAGCGGCTCATTATCATTAACGATTAGATATGGCTAACTGACCCTGGGAAAGTGGCGGAGGATGCCGGCCTTGTCGCTATTTGTGATGTCGTTCTTCTCGCAGACTGACTCCCACTCCTTCCGCTCTCTCTCTCCCCACTCAGGTAACTACCAGCTGTCTCCCACCGTGAACATGCCCCAGGACGACACCATCATCATCGAAGATGACAGGCCCCCCGCGTTGCCCGCCCCTCAGCTCTCCGACCACTCGTCCTCCAGCTCTCACGACGACACGGCCTTTGCCGCCGAGTCCCCCACCTTCTGGACCAAAGAGATTCACATGCAAGCCGAACGGTGAGCCGGTCCGGCGCCGGTCCGTTTATACCTGTTTCAGGTCATTATCCCTGCGTCTGTCTCGGCAGCACGGACGTGTTTATTAGCTACAGTGCACAAGCGTGAGAAGTCCGCTGTCCGCTTTCCACGCCATGCGATGTCTCCTGGCTTTATTCTCTGAGGAGATATGGAGGGAGGCAGACGCGATCGCGATAGCAACTAGGGCTGGACAATAATTCGATATCAATATATATCGCGATA